TGGTCTCTTTGGTAAATGCTGCCATAATCCTTGCCTTCAGTTCATCTTTGGTGTTACTAGGATTTTTATCTGTTTCTCAGTCAACTGCGCTCCACACATAATAATCAAGGAGGTTGCAGTCTGGAGAGTTAGGTGGCCAGATGTAAGGGGTGATGTGGTTGCATAAATTGTCTGACAGCCATGACTGGTTTCTCAGGATTGTGTAGCCTGGTGCAGAGTTCTGTTGCTAGATAAAGGTTTTTTTTTTTACATCAGTCACCCTCTTGACCCAGGCAGCACTACCTGCTCAAGGCACTTGATGTTGGTCTCCCTGTTGAGTCTAAGGCTTTTGGGGAAGATGAATGAAGGCATAATTTCTCCATCACTAGTGACCACTTTAAACAACATGATGTTGATTAGATATTTTATCCAACTCTTTCCGAATCCTCTCCATCCGCCTCAGATTGACATCCGAACATTCTGAAATGTTCATATTACAGCTTCCGGTGCGAATGCCAAGCAGTACAGTATGCCTTTTCCAAATTTCTAGCGGACTGAAATACGTCATGGGGATTCTTTTCCCACAGGACAGTACCCAACTAACCCTATTATACTGCACATTCGACAAAATCAAACACAAACGACGCGCATGCGCGAAATTTTAAAAAAATATAAAATGGCGACAATTTACCCATCGAGCCAAAAAATCAGACTGCTCGATGCCCACTACAAAATTTTTCTCCGTGCAATCTATGGCTATAATTTTGACACTAAGGTGTCTAATGCTGATCTTCTCGCAAAATGCAACATTAGAGGAATTGAAACTTTCCTGATGGAGTCAGGCCTTCGCTGGGCTGATCATGTTGCAAGGATCAATGACGACCCAGTACATAAGGTCCTCCTGTATAGCCAGCTTGAGAGTGGACAAATGGCTGTTGGACGGTCGGGGCTACGGAATAAAGACAATAATAACCTCTCAGCTGTCAATGTGTCTCATACTAACTTCGAGCGAGTTTTTTTTTTTTTTATAAAAATAACTGGAGATATTTGTGCCAGAGTTATATCAAAATTTTTGTAATCAGTCGTATTGACCGGCTAAGAGGGGAAAGACAACAGCGAAAAGCGTCAGCAAAAATTCCTGTGGCTATGCCCCAAGATCCTCGCTGTTGCACAATATGTGGGATTATATGCAGGCCACTAGCGGTAATGAAGTGTTACAAAAACATAAAAATTGAATGAGACTGTCGGATACTCAAACGTCGTAATCGACGGAAGAGTCATTATATATATATATATATATATATATATATATATATATATATATATATATATATATATGTGTGTGTGTGTGTGTGTGTGTGTGTGTGTGTGTGTGAGTAGGAGGTTTTTAAATAAATCGTTTATCGTTTTATAAGGGCTAGAGTTTTGAGATGGAAAATCCTTCAGATTGGTAAGAAATAAATGAAAGAAACTGGTTGTATCCACGCGTTTCCCCATCTATTACATAGTGTCGACATGGAGAACACAGAAAAGGAGAATATATATATATATATATATATATATATATATATATATATATATATATATATAAGACAGGATGTGTGTGTGTGTGTGTGTGTGTGCGTAATGAATGCACGGCCGCAATTTCCGACGGATTTGCACCAAAATTTACATGCACATGCTGCAAGTTAGTGGGAAGGCCAAGACCCACTTTGCATTTCCCAACTCCAGATCGATAGTAGAAATAATCGACTTTTTCATGCTTCTACGGCAGTTTTCACGTAGCTTACGGCCATTTTCTATTAGCCAGAGTGAAAGCCAATAGCTGGCTGCCACGAATAGGCAGGAAGATTCTATTGGCTAGCGTGAGAGCCAACAGCTGACTGACACGAATATTAACTAGCATGCAAAAAAAACGATAGCTGCATTCGTCACAAAAAAAAATTGGAAAAATTTAGATCTGCATGGCAGTTTAGTCCAATTGGCTCATTCGCTTGCTTAAACTCAACGTTGATTCTGATTCCGCAGAACTGGGTTGGATGTGAAAAAGTATTTGTTGTTAACATGCTTTTTTCATTCGGTTTTTTCAGTGACGGGTCCTTTTTTAAAGCTGATCGTTTTGTGTTCATTTTGTCTAGTTCTTTTTTCGTAACAGATTTAATGTTTAGTATACAGCTTAGAAAAAATTCGCAGTGTGCGATAGGCAAGAAGTAAAGCATGTAGCAACATCAGCACGGCAAAAGGCACTCCTTTAAATGCAAGGAAGGGCAAAAAATATTTTTAAGTCAAGTGATAGCGATTGCTGTATGAGTCATTACGATTTTTGAATGATGCAGGCAACGCCAGGCCGTGCTGCTAGTACATATATTTATATATATATATATATATATATATATATATATATATATATATATATATATATATATATAATGTGTGTGTCTGTGTGTCTGTGTGTGTGTGTATGTACGCGTGTACTTGCATATCTGTGTGTTGCTGCTTACTTATTTTAACAGAAAGCCACAAGCATGGGACACTCAGTGAGGATCAAACTCCCTGCTTGTTGACTATTATTCCACGTTGATAGGCTTCTTCATATATTTGGATTATTTTAGTTTGACACAAGGCCACGGGTGTAAGACTGCCGGTAAGAATCGAACTCACTTTTAATACCCAACCAAACAAGGCCGGTATTTCCTCGCACCTTCCTACATGAAGTTATTTTCTAAACTAAGCTTAGTTTTCCACAAGTTCACAAGTATGGGTCATCTAATAAGAAACTAACTTGTTACTAAGGGGTAATACATAGCAACCAGATTAGCTTACTGTTATGGAGTCCACCCATTTTTTCATACAAGTGGACTCGACCAGTATGTACTTGGACTGCTGCCGTTAAAATAACCAGAGTCAGTCCGAGTAGAGAGAGCAGAGATTGTGATTGAGTTAGAGTTAGAGTAATAGTGTGAGGTAACAGCTTGTAGAAGTCACAGTTACGAGCACGTAGACTCTAAGGAAGTCCTACTTACCAGACTATATATATATATATATATATATATATTTATATATATATATATATTATTGCTACTAACCGCGTTTCTGGATTTACTAACCGTATTACCAATTGTATTATTGTGTAAATACATTTATTTCTTATAT